CTTTCCCTATCGTTGCGTATCTTTCTCGTCGAGCAGTCGCCGATATCGCCAAGCTAATTGCCCCTCTTCGGCTTGGCTCTCCTCAAACCTGAAGAGCCCTCGCGGTGATCGCGAGATGTTCTACCTTATATTTATCTCCTTCCTATTGCTATTTGAGGAACCTTTCCTTTTTCTTGAATATATCTCTCCACTGAAAAATCATTATATTCCGCTCCAATTCCAAAGGAAAATAATCTGCTATATTCTTGATTTTTAAAGTTGCATAATTTTTATATATATAAAGAGAGAGAGAGAGAGAGATTAAATACAAAATTATTTACTATTATTTATTTAAAATAATGTAAAAAGTATACAGATCACTTAGAATTAGAAGAAAAGTAAGCAAGAGCCAATTGAAATTTCAAAACAGGATAATATTTCATTTATATGGATGGTTTCGAAGCTAACTAAAGGTATCTTCGAGATAAACTTTCCGAGATGACATTGGGTTAAAATAGCAAAATATGTAAAATATCGAGTCATTTTTAGAAATAATATTGGACCGTTCGGCATTAAAACGACTTTTTACGTGCGATACGTATACATCGTGGAATTGAGCGTGTTAGCATTTAGAGGATGCCACTTTCGTATTTGACCACATTGAGCATTGTATTTTTAGTCATCAGACACATTCTCTTCGACCCGACGTCAAGCTGGGTGATTTCACCATTCGACCGATCGCTTCGAAGACTCACATTCTTCGAGACAGCCGCAATGAATTCCAACCGGTCGATCCGATTGCCGTCGAAAGGGTTTCGCAGTGATTACATAGAGTGATTGACCACAAAGGGTAACTCGACCCTCTTTGCAGTATCGACACGTGTCAATATAGGGAACTTTCCCGACCATCGTTCATTCGTATCGAGCGTGTATTTCTTCAAAGAATTTAACGAATGCCTATTTATCGCCTCTATTTAATCACGTCGATCTAATCGTATTCTATTCGCGAACGTCATCGATTTCGCGGAAGATCTCGGCCGATGTGTTTTCATCTTTCGCTCTCGCTCGTTTGTCGTAAATTCTTGCGCTCAAAGTGCTTTTCTATCGACGCGAACAGAGAAAAGTAATCGGGTAATGCATCAGACCGACAAATAGGAGTTGTAAGGAACGTCCCGCGAGTAACTCGCACGGTAAATGTACTGTTAAATTAGGCGTATCAAATTGGATCTTACGAATCTAGATATCAGGCTGTCGTTTAAATATCAAATGCGATCGACTTCGGGAAATCTGTTTGCAATTCACGTGCTCAGTTGTAATGAAAGAAATTTATTTTTTATTTATGTATAAAGATATTCTATGAGAAAATATAATCTTTCAATTAAATGCAAAGAAAGCTTCGGTGTTAGAAATTTTTCTATATGCCTATTAAAGTTTAGACGTATAAATTTTTTTCTGTTTTAAAAATTTAGATATACATATTTCATAAGAAAAAAAGCTAGAGAGAGAGAAAATGCCTCAGAGAATTATTCTTAAATTATTGAAAATTTAAATTATTGAAATTAAATGAAAAGCAAAAGCTCTCTTTGTTATTTGCGGTACCGTAGCCGAATTCACGAAAATTCCTTCTATCCTTTTACAAAATTTTTTTTTCTTTATTAGTTTACC